AAAAAAAAAAAAAAAAAAAAAAAAATTTCAGGTTCTTAATGTGAGAGTACAACCAACCAAATCACAATATTTGAATTTGTTAGGTAGAGTCCCTCTCGTAGCTATGTCCTGCACCCAAAAGGTGTGCCATATAACCCTACGTTGTGTCCATTCAGTGGAAGCACCCCACCCCTCTCTTCCTTCTCCCTTGTTCCTCCTCCTCTGAACTTGAATTGAAATGTGTTTTTCTCCTATATGGATGTGAATTAGATCACCCACTGGCTTCATATTAGTACTAAGTAAGTTGGATATTTGCTTTTCCATTTTTGTGATTATTATTCTTTTTAAAATTGTTGAGGATTCATTGAGGGCACAGAGAACCAGGTTACACTGATTGCATTTGTTAGGTAAAGCTCCTCTTATCCTTGTGTCCCGCCTCCAAGACATTCTTGTGATTGTTTACGGAGAAGAATAGAATGCGTTTCAACTCCATCCAGGTTCATACAAAATGTGAAGTCATCATCTTTGTTTATGGCTGAATAGTATTTCATGGTGCATATAGCAAAAGTTTGTTAATCCATTCCTGAATTGATGGGCATTTAGGTTGTTTCCACATATTGGCAATTGCAAATTGAGCTGTGATAAATAATCTAGTATATACGTCCTTCTGATAAAATGATTTTTTTTCTTCTGGGTAGATGCCTAGTAGTGGAATTGTGGGGTCAAATGGGAGATCTAATTTGAGTTCTTTGAGGATTCTCCATATTTCTTTCCAGAGAGGCTGTACTAGTTTCCAGTCTCACCAACAGTGTACAAGTATTCTACTCTCGCTACATCTGTGCCGGCACCTGCAATTTGGGGATTTTGTGATGTGGGCTAGTCTTAATGGGGTTAGGTGATACCTCAGGGTGGTTTTGATCTGCATTTCTCTGATGATTAGGGAGGATGGGCATTGTTTCATGCTTGTCAGCCATTTGCTTGTCTTCCTCAGAGAAGGTTCTGTTTATGTCTCTTGCCCAGTGATAGATGGGATCGTTTGCTCATTTTTTGTTGACTTGAGTTCTCTATCGATCCTAGTTATCAGACCTTTATCGGATTCGTAATATGCAAATATCTTTTCCCATTCTGAAGGTTATCTATTTGCTTTGATTGTTGTGTCCTTAGTTGTGCAGAAACTTTTCAGTTTAATTAAGTCCCATTTGTTAATTTTTGTTGTTGCAGTCGCCACAGAAGTCTTCTTTATAAAGTCTTTCCCCAGGCCAACATCTTCAAGAGTTTCTCCCACACTTTCTTCTAGGATTTTAATAATTTCCTACCTTAGATTTAAATCTTTTATCCAATTTTTTTTTGAGAGCATTCACTCAAGTCACTCCTGAGATAAGGCATGTGGAGGAAACTGAGGATCACAGAGGACAAGTAATCGCATTCATTCCTTCACTCAGAAAATATTTCATTAACTGCCTAATTACCATGCCCCAGCTTCTATGCTGAGTTTTGCATATAAATTGGTGGAGGAAGGAAGCCATTGGTAACAAAAGCATACACTGGGGGAAAGAATCCCTATTTAATAAATGGTGCTGGGAGAACTGGATAACCACATGTAAACTTGACCCACACCTTTCACCATTTACATTAAATTGATTCAAGATGGATAAAAGTGTGAGAACAAGGCGGGGGGGGGGGGCGCGGATCCCTTGAGCTCACTAGTTCAAGACTAGCCTGAGCAAGAGTAGTGGGCTTCTGTAGTCCCAGGTACTTGGGAGGTGAAGGCAAGAGAATTGTTTGAACCCAAGAGTCTGAGGTTGTGGAGAGCTATGACGCCAGGGCACTCTACCACTCAAAGTAAATAAATAAATAAATAAATAAAAATAAAAATCAATTATTAGGCTCAGTCACACGCCTGTAATCATAGTACTCTGGGAGGCAGGTGGATTGCATGAGCTCAGGAGTTTGAGACCAGCCTGAGCAAGAATGATAGCCCATCTCTACTAAAAAATATAGAAAAAATAGCCAGGCATGGTGGAGAACCTGTAGTCCCAGCTACATGGGAGGCTAAAGCAAGAGGATCACTTGAGCACCGAAGTCTGAGGTTGCTGTGAGCTGTGACGCCACAGTACTCTATCCAAGGTGACAGAGTGAGACTCTGTCTCAAAATAAAAACCAAATCAATTATTAGTCACAGAAGTCTATGTTCAATGTATTCTCCATGTAAAAAAATACAAACATTAAAAATAGGCTTGGTGCCCGTAGCTCAGTGGTTAGGGTGCTGGCCACAAACACTGGGGCTGACAGAACCTGGCCTGCTAAACAACAAGGACAACTACAACAGAAAAATAGCCAGGCATTGTGGGGTGCCTGTAGACCCAGCTACTTGGGAGGCTGAGGCAAGAGAATTGCTTAAGCCCAAGAGTTAGAGGTTGCTGTGAGCTGTGACGCCACAGCACTCTACTGAGGGCAACATAGTGAGACTCTGTCTCAAAAAAAATAAAAAACCCAAAAAACACTAAAAATAAGGTTGGAGTCTTATAGAGTCCCCTCCCCCCTTCTCCAACCCCCATTTTTCACCCTGTTGTCAAACCCTCACTTCTATTGTTTTAGGGTAATTTAGTCCATGAGCATTTTATGGTAGGTCCTTTCTCTAGAGGAGCCTTTCACTTGGGTTTCTCTTGCTGCCTCAAGTCTTTTGCCCTTGGTCTGTGACATTTAGTCTTGGCAGGCTGAATAAGCCCAGATGAGTCTTCCTGAGGGAACACAGACTTGAAGCTTGTGTTAGGGAGCAGCCCTGTGAGGCCACTGGGGAGACCCATGACTGTTGTGGCCCCGTCTCCGTCTGTTCCTTTCTGTCCTGGTTGTTTTCCAGAGGAAAATTCAATCCTGGTAATGATTGGTAAGACTAATTTAGTTCAGTGCTCATTTTACAGATGGGAAACCTGAGGCTTAGGGAGGGAAGGAGCTATCTTAGAGCAGACATTCGAGCAGGGCTTTTATCTCCGGCCTTGCCATAAGTCCAGATAGAGTGCTGTAGTATCATAGCTCACAGCAACCTCAAACTCTTGGGCTCAAGTGGTCCTCTTGCCTCACCCTCCTAAGTAGCTGAAACTACAGGCACCCACAACCATGCCTGACAGGGTCTCACTCTTAGAGACAGGGTCTCCCTTTTGTTCAGGCTGGTCTCAAACTCTTAAGCTCAAGTAATCCACCTGTCTTGGACTCTCAGAGTGCTAGGATTACAGGCATGAGCCACCACGCCCAACCAAGTCCAGTACCTTTTTAACCATAAAGAGTTCTGTGCACATTCCCAGCCGAGTCCTGGAACCTAGCACAGGTTGGAGGAGGGGTCTCTGGGAGGATCTGATGCGGTGAGGAGGTTTTGTTCTCGGCTGCAACACTTCGAATGGAGCCTGGTGGCAGGATTTGCTTGGAGCTGGTTTGTTTAGGTCATCACTGTGCTTTGATGGTAGCATTACTTCATGTGTGTGACCTGTGTTTCATTCAGCGTCTTGTTTTTTTGGATCCCAAGGGCAAGAGGGTCATCTCAGCAGGGCCATGAGGGCATCTGTGGGCTGGCCCTGCTGCCTTCTGCTCTCCCCACCTCCTCCTCTCTACTCCAGCTCCACCGGCCTCCTTGAGGCTCAGGCAAGTCCCTGCCCCAGGGCCTCTGCAGTATTCTCCTCTGTTTGCTTTTATTTTTAAAAAATTAACATTTTTATTACAAAAAAATTTAAATACACATAAAAATAGAGAAAGTATCACCTAGTTCCTAGTCCCAGTTAATATTTCCACAAATGTCTCAGAATATGTTCTTTTTTTCTTTTTTGTGGGAGACAGAATCCAGCTTTGTTACACAGGTTGGAATACAGTGGTATAGTCATAGTTCACTGTAGCTTTGAACACCTGGGCTCAAGTGATCCTCCTGCCTCAGCTCCCAAATAGCTGGGACTACAGTGCATGCCACCATGCTCAGCTGATTTTTGTATTTTTTTGTAGAGATGGGGTCTCATTCTCTCCTTTAGACTTGCCTCAAACTCTTGACCCCAAGCAATCCCCCTTCCTTGACCTCCCAAAGTGCTAGGATTATAGGCATCAGCTACCTTGGCTGGCCTGAGGGTATCCTCTTATAATTATTCAGAATCAAATATAAGTAAGGTTCTGGGACGTTTTGAGCAGAGGACTGGTGTGGTCTGACTATGTTGCAGGCAGAGTCTGCATGGTCAGGAGTGGTGGTAGGAAGGCCCCTGCAATGAATTAGGTTATACTGCATAGGATACTGGCCTGGAGTCTGGCAGAGAATGGAGATGGAGGGACTGGAGATACGAGGGTAGGGTGGAGATAGATTCACACACACACCTTCTTCCTTGTTGTCTGAGTGTAGTACAGCACACTGGCTGGCAGGTGGCACCATTGACCACTTGCTGATCTGTTTTTAGAGCAGCCCTTGATGAATGTGTGGGCTGACCCACATCATCTGCTCCCTCTCTTCTCCTTTTCTCATTTCTGCCTCCACCACCTGGTGGAAGCCACTGTTATCTCCCACTGGAGCTGCTTGCAGGTCTAGCGACCTCGCTGTATCTGTCCCCTCCGGCTGCTGCCCTGCACTGCAGCCATCTGCAGATCTGATCCAGCTGGGCCCTGCGTGGAGCCTCCCTCCTGGCCCACCGGGCCCCAGGCATGCTGGCCTTGCACATGCTGCTCCCTCAGTCCGAAGCTGTGCCCCCTGCCCTGTCCCAGCTCTTCTCACAGCCGGTTCCTTCTTGTCCTTCAGGTCTCAGCTTCCCTGCACCCTCCTCAGAGAGGCTGGCGAGAGCGAGTCTCCTCCAGTGTTCCTCTTGTTCCCTGGCAGGCCTTGCCATGCTTTATGGAACATCCATCTCCCTGTCTCTTTGCCCATTTACCTGCCTGTGCTGTTTCCCTCTAGAAGAGAAGTGCCGTGAGGCAAGGCTGTGCCTCCGGTAACCCTGGCAGAGGGTAGGTGCCCCTGCATCTTTGTTGAATGAGCCTGAAATAATTTCCACTAACATTTTTGTGACCATTATTCCAGAATTTTTTTTTGCATGCATGCATATAGAAGGAGGTGTATCTGGTTTGACAAGGAGTGAAATATATGTACTTCAATATGTTGTTCTTGAAGGTTTGCTTTTTAGAGGAATCCCCGTGGTTGCCCAGTGGAGAGAAGATTCAAGGGGGAACAAAACTGGAGGTTAGGAAACTAGCTGGGCTCCGCAGGATGTGAGCTCAGGGTCTACCTGGATAATGGGAGGGGCCAGGATGATGCAGCTGCCTTAGGTCCCCCAAATCCCTGTAGGTGGAGGAGCTGGGGCAGGGGCCAGTCCAGAGGCAGGCATGCTGCTGTAGAGGGCCAGGTGCCACATGGCAGGGGCCTTCAAAGTGAGTTTTGGAGGGGGAGTTGAGTAGACGGTACTGGCAGGGCAGGACACTGTGGGTGTGAGGAAAGAGCATGGGCACAGAAGGGCACAGGGTGTCCAGGTTCTTGGGCCTATGAAGGCTGCTGGACCCTGGCCTTTCTGGAATTCCTGCCTGGGTTATCCTGGCCCTTTGTCTGAATCCTGACCCCTGTAGGGGAGATGTAGTATTTTTCTTCAACCATTGTAAAGTTTATGGCTGAGGCCTTGATTACAGAAGATAGATTAACAAGAGAAAAACACATGTATTTATTTAATGTAAGTTTATGTGACATAGCGGCCTTTGGAACAGAGGACCCAAAGAAACATGGAAGCCTGTGTATTTGGATGCTAAGTTTAATGAATCCAGGATAGTCCTGAAGAAGTATAATTGGACACAGGGTCAGATCAATGTTGATAAACTGGGGAGGACAGACCTAGCAAGCCCTGTTTGTTCAGATTCTTCTCTGTGTCCCTGTGCCTTCAGTGATGAGGACGTTTCGTTCTTCTAGGTATCGGGTCGGCACCTATGGAATGAAGGTTTTATGACCTGCTTTGGGGGAGAAGGGCAATGGGGAGGTGAGAGTGGCATCTTGCTTCTATTGTCTCAAATACAAAGATGCCATATTTAGGAGTAGTATGTCCTCAACTCCATAGTACCCCATTGTTTGCTAGCTGTGTGGCCTTGGGCAAGCTCCTTGATTTCTTCTGGTGTCTTCATTCCTGGCACAGGGCCAATGCCCCCTCCTTAGGGTTATATGAAGGGTCCAGGTGACCCTGGAAAGAGCCTGAGACCAGCATGCAGCAAGGGTGTGGCACCCAGGAACTCTCTCCCCTCCCCTTCCCTTCCAGGCCCCTTTCTCTTGATTTGTGTCATGGGTGAGAAGATACCTGTCCCAGAGTAATTGATGTGAAAATCAAGTCAAGGTTGCCCTTGGAATGAGATCAAATGCTTTACAAATGTAATAAGTTGCTCTTGCTTTGGGGTTCTTTCCCCCTGTGAGGTGGGTGCCTCTTCTCTGAGCTGTTGTTTTGTGGGTGGACTTGCTTCCAGCTCCTGCCACCCCCGCTCAGTCTCAGAGGCTCCCCTAGGGCTGCAGCCAGCTCTGCAGCCCTTACCTCTTTGCTGTTGTAGGTTGCTACACTTGCATCTAAAAAAAGGGGTTCTTTGCTTTAATTACTGCCCAGACACGAACTTCGTGGGTAAGTAAGTAATCTCCATGTTACCTGGAAACTGCTGGTCCCCAGAGCTGAGAAGGCCTTGTGGTATCTGGCCTCCATCTGGCCTCCTCTCCTGCCACTCTCAGCCCTGCTCGTGGACACCTGGGATCGTGTAGGGATGGGAGGGCGGGAGGGCAGAGTGGTAGAGCCTAGTGATACCCCTACCTCGCAGGCCTGGCTGGGGCCCAGGTCTGGCCCTGGAGGAAGGGCCCCAGTGGAGGCCCTGGGTGGCTGACACCCATTTCCTGACCTCAGTGACTGGTGGCTACGACTCCTTTATCCGCCTCTGGAACCCCTTTTTCTCAAGAAAGCCTATGTTGCTGATGAAGGGACATCAGACCTCAGTGACACACATCATCGTGAGCAGCCAGAACAGCAGCATCCTCATCAGCATCTCCAAGGACAAGGTGCTGCCTTGGGGAGTCCCCCCCAAGTTCTGATGCTCTGGGTAGGACACTGGCCCTGGGGATGATGCGCCAGCTCAGCCAGCCCAGGGGAGTGATGCTGGAAGGAACAGTGTCACCTCCCTGCCTGTGGTCCTGGCCAAAGGCCTAGAAGCAGGGGCCCCGGGAGGAAGGAAGAAGAAAATGGCCAGGGATCCGAGCAGAGCTGGGTTCCCACACAGCCCAGTCTGGCTTCTTAATCTGTGTCCCTGGGTAAGTCCCTTCCCTTTTCTTTCTTTTTATTTGAGATGGAGTTTTACTTTTGTCACCCTTGGTAGAGTGCTGTGGTGTCACAGCTCACAGCAACCTCCAACTCTTGGGCTTAAGCGATTCTCTTGCCTCATCCTCCCGAGTAGCTGGGACTACAGGCGTCCACCACCACACCCAGCTGTTTTTTGGTTGTAGTTGTCATTGTTGTTTGGCAGGCCTGGGCTGGATTCAAACCTTCCAGTTCTAGTGTATGTGGCTGGCACCCTAGCCACTGAGCTACAGGTGTGGAGCCCCCTTCCCTTTTCTGAGTCTTAGGCTCCTCATCCATAGAATGGCCTATTGAGTGATTTAGAAGAGAATTGGCAGTAAGATAGATGGTGGTGTCAGGCACATAGTGGCTGTTCCCCTCCCCACACCTGCCCTCTCAGCTGCACTAGGTGCAGCCTAGCTATCAGGGCCTGCCTTGACCTTTCTCAAATGCATCAGCCTGTCACTCTGCTCCTCTGCGGCTGTCGAGGAGACAGCCCATTTACTGGGCTGCCCAGGGCACCTAGCCACCATGGAGCCCTGGTCCAGTAGCTCCAAGTCCCCTCCTTCAGGGCACAAGTTGTATTTTCTGGGACTCAATAAATAGAGAATTGTCAGGGCCCTCAGGGTCACCCAGGCTACCCTCCCCAACACATCCTTATATACATTACTGTCTGGAATTTTCTCAGCAGCCCTGAGAGCTGCCATTATCACCTCTGACAAAGGATCTGAGGTTGGGGGTGGGGGGTGGATATGGGGAAAAGATGCTGAAATCTTCACAGTCCACCATGGCAGAGGAGGTCTCTAAGAAGTGAGGACTGGAGGGACCTCCATGGGGTCTCTCTGGGGAAAGGTCCTTAACCTACATAAATGGGAGGGCTCCTCTGGGATAGGCTGGCCATTCTGGCAACTATGTTGGTCGCTACTCTCAATGTCCTAGGCTGGCTTTTCTTGAACAAGGCTGGAGGGGGAGCACAGGCAGGCCTAGGACACCTGTGCTGCCTTGGTCTCCACTCTCAGCCATGAAGTCAGCTGCCCTAGCAGGCAGAGGCGTGAGGGAAGGCTGCTGGGCAGAGCCCCCTTCCCACCTCCCACCATGTGCCTGGGTTATCCAGCATGAAAATAGCCTCTCTGTGGGAGGGTATGAGGCAGGGAGTGCGGGGATGTGACCTGCCCTGGCCTTGCTTGCAGGGGGCACCCATGAGCTCTTAGGTACCAGCCGCATCCCCAAACACCCACCCTCAGCCTCTTACCTATTTCCCACCCCCCAGAATATCCGAGTGTGGGACATGCAGGACCGTATCTGCCTCCAGTCTTTTTGCGGGAAGTTTTTTGCCCTGGGAAACTGCCCCATCACCAGCGCCTACTTCTATGGAGATGATACCCTCATCTGCAGCACCTATTCGGTGAGCGCTGCCCGGATTGGGGGGAGAAGGGGCATGGTGCAGATGGAGGGCCGGAATCTGACGGCTCCTGGGAACCAAGTGGTGGTCACGTGCCATCCCTCCTGACATTGCTGAAGCTGCTAGACAGTGGCCTGACCTCAGAGGCTCTGCCTCTTGGGGCTTCCTGCAAGACCTTCTAGGTTCCAGGCCTGTCATCCTCGCTGCTGCTGCTGCTTTCTATTCCTTTCCCCCGTCAGGACCTCCTTGGACTCTCCCTCCGGAGGCCCACCCTGACCCCTGGGCTGGTAGAGCCTTCCTTGGCACTTCTTTGGCCCCATGCCTTCCTTTGGTCACAGCCCTCAAGACTGTTCTGTCACTGTTAAATGACTATCTTTGCTGCTAAGTCATGAACTCCAGGAAAGCAGGGGCCACATCTGAGTGGCCTCTCTAGAGAAAACTGGCAGGAAGGCTGTCTGTGAGTTGGGACTAAGCTGGTACCCATGAGAGGTCTGCACTGACCCTGGAGAACAGGAGAGATGGGTAATAAGCATGAGTTGCTGCGTGTTGGGCTGGTGGTGATGGGCCTGCGACAGGATGGGGATCCAGGAAGCTGAGGCTGGTGAGCGGCCAGGGGACAGGGGAGGTACTGCCTAGGAAGGAGAAGAGAGTGTCACTTGTGGTTGGACTCCATCAAGGCCTTGTCCCTCCTGTTGGCCAGGCCACCTTGGCAGGGGACACATATGTCATCTTTGTGTACTTGGTTAGTTTTACCCTAGAGGCAGATTCCTTGAGAAGGAGGTGTGCGGGGTCCTTCTCTTTGCTGAATTCCAGATGGGCTGTCAGCGTTCATTGAATTAAATGGACCTTTGAAGTTCATTTCAGGTCATCAAATGTTATCAACCCCTATTCTTTGTTGGGAGCTGGGAATATATTAACAAACCACTGTTCCATCTCTCAAGGAACCTACAGGGTAGAAGAAAAGCACATAATTTTGGCAGAAAGTGCTATGTGATGTGATAGAGTTTTGTGCTAAGTGCTTCACAGCTTGAGGCAAGGAGTAGCCAGGGAAGGCTTCCTGGAGGGAGCACCTGTTGAGGTTTTAGCTTCTTAAAAGTTAGAAGGTGAGAGGGAACTTGGACTTGGAATTTGGGTTTTAGGAACACTAGGGTTTGGGAGGCCAACCCCAGAGAGTGGGAGCCACGAAGTGGGGATAGGGGACCAGCGGGCCTGCCATGGGCCCTAGAAGCCTTGTTGAGTTCAGGCCTGTGCACAGTCAAGATGTCTTGGTTTCCTGGAACTTTTTCCAGCCAGTCATTGAAGGGGCTCAGTCACTGAGAACAGAGCCTTCTGACTGCCCAGCTGTCTGTCCGTTTCTTTCCTACAGATTGGGATCCTAAAAGGCTACTTAAAGGCCCAGGGGCCTTTGAAAGGAGGAAAGATGACAACTCACAATGCACCCCTGTGCACTGTGCTCTACAGTAAGATCTTCAAGCAGGTGAGTGGCCCAGTGCTCGCCTCTGAGATGGGCAGGAGTGCTAGGTAGTGTAGTGCAGTCCCCCACACACTGGGACTATGTGCCTGCATCTGCAGTCAGCTCACATAGCATGTTGGGAACTCTTAGGGCTTTGATGGTGGTGCTGGGGGCAGTAGGAATATGGTCAAAAACTTAGCTCTGTGGACAGTTGGCCTGAAGTCTGATCCAAGTTCTACCAATTGGTCATTGGATCACCTGAGCCTCCCTGAGCTCAGCTGAGTGCCTTAGGTCAGTTCTGGGCAAGCAGCCTTCCTTAGGTGGAGTGTAAGAGGGAATGCTGGCTCTGGGGTGTTCTCGGTGGCTCCCAGGGCAGGTGCTGCTCTGGAGCACCACTTTCTAGGACTCTGTAGTTATGGGAAGGGAGAGGAGTGAGGCAGCAGCAGCACCCTAGTCCTGAGTCAAAATCTCTGGATTGGGCAGGGCAGCTGGGCATGTGGAATTGTTTCTGAGGTGTGTGGACAGGAAAGGCTGTCAGGACCTCTCTAATCTGGACCTCTCATCTGGCCTAGACTCTGGGCAGAGCTGGCCACATCTGCTACAGAGGCAGCCTTTGACTCCACAAGGCTGGAGCTCCTATCTCCCGGGGCTTCTCTCCTATCCTGGCTCTGGATTCTTCAATGTCTTCAAACAGCTGTTGTTTTCAAAATTTTCCCAGATTTTCTAGGAAAATGTGTAGGAGGATTGGTCTGAAATAGCCTCACCTGCTACTGTTGCTATAAGGTTAACAGCAGCAAAGTATTTCACTGAGTGGCATGATGGTCCATTGATCTCAATATTTCCCTACTTAGGGGATGGTTAGTTTATTTCCTGGGTATTTTGTTTTTTTGGTCATAATTAATGGTATTTAGTAAATGTCTTTTTTGGATTAAGGATTATTTTCTTTGGATGGATTTCTGAGTTAATGGGTCTTCACCAAATTCGTTCCTTCTGAAAGAACAGTGTCAGTTGGCACTGTCTCCTGATACAGGGCAGGGGGAGGCCTGCTTTCTAGAGTGGCTTGTGCTGAAAGTGAGTTTTCTCAGGGCATGGGGTGGGGGCCCTGGCAGGCCAGAAGCCGCCCTTGGGAAGACAGTCACTGGCCTCTCCAGCAGCCCCCAGCCGTGTGTTCCCCACAGGTGGTGAGTGGCTGCCTGCGCGGCTCAGTGAGTGTATGGGAGGTTGTGACAGGCAGGAAGATGATGGAGTTCTCGGTGTCCGGTGCCCAACACGTGGAGCTGACCACCATGTCCCTGAATGAAACAGAGCGGTGCCTGCTCACAGGTTTGCGTGATGGCACGATGAAGATGTGGAATTACAACATTGGTGAATGCCTTTTGGCCTTTCCCAACCCAGAGCATCTGGAGGTCAGTCTGGCTTGCCAGCTGGAGCCAGGGAGAGCCTCTCAAGATGCAGAGCCCAGCCCCCATGACCTTGAGATGCACTATTTTTATGCTTCCCTGAAAGGCTGTATCATACATAGGCCTGGCTCCAAACTTTCCTGAGCCTCCGTGTCCTTATGCCTAAAAAGAGGACAGGTAACAGTCCCCAGGCTTAGTAAGGCTTCTACAAATGTAGCTACTCTTGCTCTTTAAATGTGTCAGCACTTCTCATCCCACATATCAGAGCTTCTGGTTGCACTTCAGAGCCCCACATGCTCACCTGTATTTGGGAAATGACTGACAAGATTACAGGAGTCGTCCATGGGTGTGGCATAGCACAAAGCCAGCAGTCCCTTTGACATAGTCCTTTAACTAATGCAGAAAGAATATGGTACTTGGCCAAGAAGCCAGGGCCTTGAGTCCTGTTCCTATCACTTAGTAGTTATTTGACCTCAGCCACGTCACTTGTTTCCCCGTTATCCCCTAAGTAGCCCTCACGTCTACAATGGACATGCATACCTGCCCTATCTGCCTCTCCTAAATCCATCAAACAAGATAATCAGATAATCGGATGTGAAAGGACTCTGAAAAATACAGAGTAGTATCACTTCTAGGGAATTCTCTTCATTTTTGAGACATTTGACTTTTTGCTTGGCACCTTTAGGAAGATTTAGAGTTCTGTTTTCTTTCACCTTCAACAGATTACTGGGATTATCCACATGAACAAAACATTCTACGTGACAGGATGGAGTAAGAGAATCACTTATTACATGTGAGTAGAAGACTATGTGGTAGCCGGATATTCTCTTTCCAGACAGGTTCCCAATTCCCAGCTTCCCTGTTGGTTGGAACACCAAGTGGGAAGTTAGTGGTCGGTAATGACTGTGGCTTCATCTGCTTGTTCCTTCTTTCCCTGATCATTCACTGGGGCTACCATAGTCTTGGCTTTTTACTAGGTGCTAGGGATGGGGAGAGCAGGACCGTGTCTCCATCCTCCTGGAGCACCTAGCTCAGTGGGGGACTGGTTTAGTCTGTCTGGGCTACTCTAACAGAAATACCATGGTCCAGGTGGTTTATAAACAACAGAAATTTGTTTCTCACTGTTCTGGAGACTGGGAAGTCCAACATCAAGGGTGCTGGCAGATTTTGGATCTGGGGAGGGCCCACTTCCTGGTTCATAGATAGCTGTCTTCTTGCTGTAACCTGACATGGGTGGAATGGGTGAGAGATCTCTCTGGGGTCTCTTTTATAAAGGCACAAATACCTTCATGACCTCCCAAAAGCCTCACCTCCAAATACCCTCACTTTGATGATTAGGTTTCAATATATGAATTTGGGGAGCAAAATTCAGCCTATAGCATTCTACTCCTGGCTCCCCCAAATTCATGTCCTCTCTCATGCAAAATTCATTCATTCCATCCCAATACCCCAAATCTTGACTTGTTCCAACATCAACTTTAAAGTCTAAATCCAAAGTCTCATATTCTCTAAATCAAATGTGGATAAGGCTCAAGGTATGATTCATTCTGAGGCAATTTCCCCTCTAGCTTTGAACCTGTGATACCAACATATTATGTCCTTCCAAAATACAGTGGTGGGACAGGCATAGGCTAGACAAAGGAAAGAAATAGGAAAGAGGAAAAGAGTTGACAGGCAAGTCAAAACTCCATCAGAGCAAATTGTAGTAGCCCTTATATCAGAGTTCCTTTGTTGGGGTTTGGGGGCCCTGGACTGGCCAGGCCAGGTCTCTGGCCCCACCCCAGCTTATCTAGGTTCTGGATTTGGACCAGCAGGCTACCTTGCTCAGAAACAATTGCTCTTAGGTACCTGAGGGCTATTTGCTTTAGCAGAAGGGAGAGAGAGAGAAAGACAGTATTTGAGGGAATAAAACAGCGTTAGTGAGAATATATCTTAGCAGTCTTTTGTAGAGAGACGCCATGCAGGTGTTCTGCAGGCAGGAGAAGTGACAGAGTCAGAGTGAGCAGTCTGTGATAGAATGCATGCCCCCGAGCACCCGACTGCCTTTTCTTCCAGCCTCTTTTTTTTTTTTTTGGAGACAGAGCCTCAAGCTGTCACCTTGGGTAGACTGCTATAGGGTCACAGCTCACAGCAACCTCCAACTCCTGGGCTTCAGCAATTCTCTTGCCTCCGCCTCCCAAGTAGCTGGGACTACAGGTGCCTGCCACAACACGCAGCTATTTTTTGATTGCAGCCGTCATTGTTGTTTGGTGGGCCGGGCTGGATTTGAACCTGCGAGCTCAGGTGTATGTGGCTGGCGCCTGTAGCTGCTTGAGCTACAGGAACTGAGCCTCTTTTTTTTTTTTTTTGGCATCACAGCTCACAGCAACCTCCAAGTCCTAGATTTAGGCAATTCTCTTGCTTCAGCCTTCCGAGTAGCTGGGACTACAGGCACCCGCCACGACGCCTGACTATTTTTTTTATTGTAGTTTGGCAGGGGCGGGGTTTGAACACACCACCCTCTGTTTATGGGGCCGGCACCCTACTCACTGAGCCACAGATGCCTCTCCTACTTCCTTTTTAATTAAGAATTTGGTCTTTATATCTTTAGTTTCTTATGATCTTTTCTTTCTTTTTTTTTTTTAAATGTTTTTCCTCCCCCACCCCCATGATCTTTTTGAGATAGGGTCTTACTCTGTTCTCTCATCACAGCTCACTGCAACTTCTAACTCCTGGGTCCAAGTGATGCACCTGCCTCAGCCTCCTGAGCAACTGGGACTAGAGGTGCCTACTACCACACCAGCTTGCTTTTTAATTTTATTTAATTTTATTTTTTTTGGAGACAGAGTCTCACTATGTTGCCCTCAGTAGAGTGCTGTGCCATCATAGCTCACAGCAACCTCAAACTCTTGGGCTTAAGTGATTCTCTTGCCTCAGGCTCCCAAGCAGCTGGGACTACAAACAACTGCCACAACACCTAGCTATTTTTATTTTATTTTATTATTTAATTTTTTTGGAGACAGAGTCTAACTTTGTCTCCCTTAGTAGAGTGCCACAGTGTCATAGCTCACATCAACCTCAAACTCTTGGGCTCAAGTGATTCTCTTGCCTCAGCCTCCCAAGTAACTGGGACTACAAGCACCCACTACAATGCCTGGCTAATTTTAGAGACAGCGTCTCACTCTTGCTCAGGCAATCCACCCACCTCAGCCTCCTGGAGTGCTGGGATTATAGGCATGAGCTACCATGCCTGCCCTTTTAAAAATTTTTTGTAGAGATGGGGTCTCATTCTTGCTTGAGCTGGTCTTGAACTCCTGACCTCAAACAATCCTCTCACCTCGGCCTCCAAAAGTATTAGGATTTTCATTCAGCAGTCAGGAGAAAGCAAGCCTTCAATTTCCTCAGCCAAATCTCTAATTTCTTCTCTCACGAGGTCTACCCGCCACAAAATACTAGTATGCAAATGTAATTCAGCCAAGTTCTTTGCCATTTTTTAATAGGGATGGACTTTTTCTTCAATTTCCAGGAACATGTGCCTCATACTCATCAGAGACTCCATTTGAATGGTCTCTACCATCCATATTTCTACCAACATTCTGGTGTTTTTTTTGTTAATCAGGCCCAGGCCAGTTTTGAACTCACCACCTCTGGTGTGCAGGAGCAGCATGCTAACCACTTAGCTCCAGTGCCCAGTATTTTTCTACCAACATTCTGTTCAGGTTCACTGAGGACGATGTTCTCTAAGAAGACCGAGGCTTTCTCTGTAGCTGTCTTCTTTTCTCTTAGGGGCCTCACTGGAGTCTGTGCAGGGAAATGTCGGCTTTTTCTAGCATGCACCTCAAAACTGTTCTAGCTGCTACCTATTACCCAATTCTAAAGCTGCTTCCACATTTTTAGGTGTCTGTTATGGCAGCATCCTACTCTTGGCACCAATTTCTGACTTAGTTCACGCAGGCTGCTAAAACAGAACACCATAGAGTAGGTGGCTTATAACAGAAATGTATTTCTTTTCTTTTCTTTCTTTTTTTTTGAGACAGTCTCAAGCTGTTGCCTTGGATAGAGTACTGTGGTGTCATAGCTCACAGCAACCTCCAATTGGGCTCAAGCAATCCTCTTGCATCAGTTTTTTTTTTTTCTGTTTTTAGTAGAGATAGGGTCTTGCTCTTGCTCAGGCTGGTCTCGAATCTGTGAGCTCAAGCAATCCACCTGCCTTGGCCTCCCAGTGTGCTGGGATTACAGGTATGAGCCAGCACTCCAGGCCTTTTTTTTTTTTTTTTTTTTTTGAGACAGATCTCACTCTTTCCCCCTGGGTAGAAAGAATGCTGTGCTGTCATAGCTCATAGCAACCTCAAACTCCTGGGTTCAAGTGATCCTCTTGCTTCAGCCTCCTGAGTAGCTGGGACTATAGGTGCTCACAGTGCCTGGCTAGTTTTTCTATTTTTGGTAGAGACTGGGTCTACCTCTGGCTCACGCTGGTTTCAAACTCCTGAGCTCAAGCAATCCACCTGCCTTGGCCTCCCAGAGTGCTAGGATTATAGGTGTGCACCACTGTACCCGGCCAGAAATGTATTTCTTCTAGTTAGGGAGGGCGGGCAGTCCTAGATCAAAGCACTGGTAATGTCTGGAGAGGGTCTGCTTCCTGGTTCCCAGGTGGCCATCCTCTCACTGTACCCTCACCTAGTGGAAAGGACCAGGGCTCTTTCTGGGGCCTCCTTTTATAAGGGTACCAATCCAACTTATGAGCTCTGCCCTCGTAATCTAAAGACCTCCCAAAAGCCTCACCTCCAAATACATTAGATTTTAACATGAATTTTGTGGGAACACAAATGTTCAGTCTATATCAAGGAGGCAGATACTAATCAAATAACTTCATTTGTCATTAAAGTATGCTGAGTGCTGTAAAAAAGAAGCAGAGTTTCTGGGAGTGGGTGGAAACCTGATTTCTTCTTGGGAGCAGTCAGGAAAGGGTCCGCTGGGAGTGCTGCAGATGAGGAGCGATCTGAAGGGTAAGCAGAAAAGATTTCAGGGAAGTCCTGGGGGGCAGATGAGCATTCCAGACAGGACACCGTGTACCAGGTCTCTTCCTTTAAATGGGGCCTCTGCCCCTTCTTTAAGCCTTAATCCTTGCCCAGTTGTCTGACTGGGGTGACGTAGGATTCGTTATCTGTAAGGAGTTTACATTCAGGACCCAAGACGAGACCTTCAGAGTTGGCACATAGTAAGTAAGTGCTTAGAAAATGAGGCAGAGGGGCAAGGCTTCAACTAGCCCCGGCATCTGAGAGTATCCTTTCCTGAGCCACCTCCCAGAACCCTAAAGGCCTCAGTGTTTTCCCAACAGAGCATTAAAGGCTGAGCTCTCAGCTCTCCTGCCTCTGGCCATGTGCACAACAGGTTCCACCAGACCGAGCCGGTGCTCTTGTGCTACCACTGGCAGACCTACCATGCAGAAGACGTCCTGAGTATGGCCAAGTACAAGAACCAGTTCCTCGGGACCTCCTCCTACAATGGGGACATCCTCTTCTGGGACACCGACGCATTCAAGCCCATCTTTAAGTTCAATGCCTCTCAGAGCCCTTGGCCTTTGCCTCCTAGGAGGGTATGGTCAACAGGAGTGCATTCTCCACTCACCTTTCTCTCAGCTGTGGGCCAGAATTCTGTAGTTCATGGGGGCAGGGAGCACCCTGGAAGGTAAAGAAACAGTGGTGTGACTTGTTCTGGTAGGTAGTTGTTTCTATAATTATCCTCACTGGACGGATGAGACAACCAAGGCACAGAGAGGTTAAGTACCTTGCCTAAGATCACACAGCCAACAGAGGTAGATGCAAACTCAGGCAGCCTGACTACAGAGGCTGGCAGTGCTAGTCTTGTGATCATTAGTAGATTACGCATTCTTGAGGGCAGCTCACATCTTACCCACTACTGTTGCACATTTCTGCTCTGGGCTCACTGGGCTCATGATAGGGACTTGGGAAACATGTACAGTCTCTGAATTACCGTATCTTAGCAGGTTAAAGCAGGAAGGGATCTTAGGGGTCACCTCATTCAGTGGTTTTCCAAATGTGTTGGGGAGACATGCTTGGAAGGTATTGCAGGGGTGGGGATAGGGCTCTGGTGAGTGGGGCTTCCCCCCAAATAGCGTAGCTTTTAATCTATTTTTTACTTTAGTGCTTCCCTTGAGATTAAGAACAACCTCAGAAAGATTTGGAAACCACTGTCTGTTTTACAGACGGGGAGACTGAGTTCCTCATGGGAGCAGTGTCCTGCCTATGGGTACTCAGGGCATTCACATCTGGCCCAGGGGTGGGTTAATAAGCTCTGGTCTGATGCCTTTAAGGGTGCTGGGTTTCTGAGAAGCAAGCCCTGGGGTGGCTGGAGGGCGCCATAGGGTGGCTGAATCTCCCTCTAGGATGGCGGGGTACCCTAGCAGCTGCTCTTTCCTGGCACAGGTGGGAGACATGAACAAACTCCTGGTTGAGAGCCACAGGCCCACCAAACCCTGTGTAGAGGAGGAGAAATGGGCATATAAGCCCCCCAAGAAGTTCCTTGGCTCCGGCTCCAAGACTGTGACCAATGCCAACCTGAGGCGGAACCTGATGTCAGCTCCCCCAGTGATGAGACATGAGGGAGTCAAGGGGCGAGAGAGGCCTGTGTCCCAGCAGGTGGGAGTGAGAGCCTGAGCAGGGAGTGACCTCATTCTCCAGCTGTGTGTGTTCATGGGTTGTGTGTTTGTTTTATTTTGTAGGCACTTTTTCCAGAGTGCCTTTTGGTCCAAGTACTGTAGTCTGGGGTAGGGTATACCCCTGTTTTAGTCCCATTGCATTTAATCCACTCTGTTGCCTTGGGCTGGGGCGTGTCCCATCAAAGAGCATGGTAATAGCCGGGCCCCATAAAGTCTGAAAGCTTAGAGGCAGGACCCAAAGGGAATACAGCCCCGAAACCAAACTGGATATTAGATCCTGGGCTGCATTCTCTGCAAGCTCAAGTCTCCGGTCCTAGCCCAGGTTCAGAGGTGAGCCATGGAGACCAGGCTGTGAAGGTCTGAGGCCCAGACGCAGGCAAACCACATTCCTCCTCTGGGCCTTCATCTCTGCCCCAAGATTAACCCTCCCAAGAATGACTGACAGTTCTGTTTGGGGGCAGCAGGGAGGAAAAGCAGAAGCAGCTAGCTACTCTCGCTGCCCCAGGGAAAGGCCCTGGACTTCTAGTAACCAGTAGAATATTCCAGCAATGAGGCAGTCAGCTCTGGTGTGATGCCAGGGGAGCCATTCAGATCGTTCCCCAGCTAAAGTCTGATTCCCATTCCTGGAGCTGAGACTTGAATCAGAAACACCACGTTCCCCAAGCACACACGAACTGCCAGGCATAGGGCTGTCTGTGGTCTAACATGGTCTGGTAGGATGTAATTCTGCTGCAAGATGTATTCACTTTACCATAGGACACTCATGCCATCTTTGAAGTGTCAAGATCACATCACTGCTTTCAGATCTTCTAGAGCAGTGGTTCTCAACCTGTGGGTCATGACCCCTTTGGGGGTTTCCTGCATATCAGATATTTACATTATGATTCATAACAGTAGCAAAACCACAGTTGTGAAGTAGCAACAAAAATAATTTTAGGGTTGGGGGTCACCACAACATGAGGAACTGTATTAAAGGGTCACGACATTAGGAAGGTTGAGAACCACTGTTCTAGAGTAATGGGTATATATGACGTTCTGTCCTCACTTTTAATCCTCTTTCAGGACAAAGGAAGGGCGTTCCCCAAAGGCAAACTCAAGCCTTAACTCAAAATGGAGATTTCCCAGCATTTGAGAGTCTTAAAGCTCAGTACACCACCCTGCCGTGCTTTCCACAGGGCGGCATATTTACTCAGGGGTCGAGGTGGCTGTTTATTCATCTGCCTCTGATATCTCATCCCCATGGGAGCCTCATGGTGACCTGGGAGGCCCATTTTTCTTTCCAGAAACAATCCATCACTGGAGCATGCGGGCAGCCAGGCAAGTCCCGTGGCAGACAGGCTGCAGTCCCAGGGGTTAAAGTGAGAAAGGAGGAATCCAGCACATCATTGTCACCATTGCCGTTGCTGTCATCATCATCATTGTCGGTGGAGAAGGTCGGCTGTGCTCAGCCAGGGAGTGGGGTGTGAGCCAGGGAGTGGGCAGTCAGATGTGGCTGGGGGGCCTGGGCTAGGAGAGTGAGCAGTGCCCCCTTGTGCTTGGGAGTTCTGAGCTGGGAGGTAGGAGAAGTTGCATTTCTAGAATCCACTGTTAGAATGGGAGTGCATTTGAGTGGGGTGATCGGTTCCTCTCTATTCTTCTCTCCCTATCCTGTACCTTTCCCTGTGCTGACCCCAGACACCCCTTACTGTGATAGTCACTCCCCCTCCTGAGTATACACACCATGGTGGGGTTAGGGTGTAGCAGGCCTGTCCCATCACCCAGCTCAGAGACAAGGGATTTGAGAACCCCCAGAGAGGGGTCTTGATGTGGTGGAGAGCAGGGAGTGGCTGCACATTCTCTTCTTTCAGGTTCTGGATGTTCTTCCTTCCCTTTTAAAAAGTACCTTAAAAACTTTTTAAAAAGTAGTAATGCTAATTAATTATAAAAAAGAATACAAGAGTGTGTAAGGAAAAAATAAAGGTCCCCTGTGCACTGCTCACCCCACCCCATGCCACTTGCAGCAGGAACAGTCACTGCTACTTGGTTTGAGCCTTTGTGCATTTTTTTTAGACCAGTGATATAAAATGATAGGAATATCCTGCCCTTTGCTTTTTAATTTATGTACATATCATGGATGTACTTTCATGTTGGTAGTTTCGATTCATCTTAGATTTTTACCTTATTCTTTTTAATAATTCCATGGTGCCACATACTTTGGGTATATCATGAATTATTAAGGCAGTCTTATACTGATAGACATACAGGTTAGTTCCAGTTTTTAGCTTTTAGGGGCAGCTCTGCATTGAACAGCCTTGTACACACATTTTGGCGCACTAGTATGAGTGTACTGAAAGAATGGATTCTGGGAAGCAGAATTGCCAGCAGACCCTGTCTCTTTAAATCTGTGAATCCATAATAGATGGCTCAAGTCCTGACCTTTTGGATTGGACACCTAGGGCTGTCAGGGCACAGGCATTTACTGTAAGCCAGTCACTGGGGAGGGAGCTATGAGCAAAAGACACCCCAAGTTCCCACCCTCCGGGAGCTGCCATTCTAGTTGGGGCAAGGCAGACAATTAACCAGCAAATAAAATAAAGGGCAGTCACAGAGCTCGGGTAGAGTAGAAACCAAGAAAGCTGGGAAGAGGGTGAGAAGAGTGGGCCTGGGAGGTGGAGATAGTGTTGCTGTTTTTAGAGGCTGGTCTGGGAGAGCTCCACAGAGGAGGTGGCTGGAAGGAAGTGAGGAAATATGGCCTGCGGTTATGAACCCTTGCCAACTACTGTGGAGCTAGTCTAGAGGCTGAGGCAAGAGGATTTCTTTCTCTTTTTTTTGAGACAGAGCCTCAAGCTATCCCCCTGGGTAGAGTGCTGTGGCATCACAGCTCACAGCAACCTCCAACTCCTGGGCTGAAGTGAGTCTCCTGCCTCCGCTCCCAAGTAGCTGGGACTACAGGCACCCGCCACAACGCCTGGCTATTTTTTTTGGTTGTAGCCATCATTGTTGTTTGGAGGGACCAGGCTGGATTTGAACCTGCCACTTCAGATGTATGTGGCTGGCGCCTTAGCCACTTGAGCCACAGGCACCGAGCCAAGAGGATTTCTTGAGCCCAAGTGTTTGAGGTTGCTGTGAGCTAGGATGCCACAACACTCTACCCAGGGCAACAGAATGAGACTCTGTCTTTTTTTTTTTGGGCACAGTTTTTGGCCGGGGCTGGGTTTGAACCCAGAGCCCTCCGGTATATGGGGCCAGAGCCCTACTCCTTTCAACCACAGGCACTACCCCGAGACTCTGTCTAAAAAGAAAAAAATCATTGCAGCAAGCATCCTTAGATATACATTTTGGACCTCTTATCTATTTCCCGGGTGTAAAACTCCAGGACTAGAAACATGCTCCTAGAAAGCTTTCCATGTGTTCCATTTCAGTCTAATAATAACACCTGTAGCAGCTAATATTTATTGAGCTCTTCATATCTGGTGGGCACTGAGCTTAGTGGTTTACATGTATTATTTTAATTTTATCCTTCCAACAGTCCTGGGAAGTAAATACTATTATTATTACTCCTAATTTATGCATAAAGAAACAAGGATAATGAGGCGAAGTGACCTGCTTAAGATTCTCGGTGCCGGAAAGTGGCAGCACCAGGGCCTGATTCTAGGTCTGTCTGTTTTTGAAGTCCAGGTTCTTTTAACTATTTGTACAATTGGGAATTCCTTGGACTTTTTCCTGGCCTGATGATCTGTGTGTAATAAGGATTATATCAATATCATGAATTTTAATCAGATTATTGAGAATCGCACGCAAGTGATTGAATGTCTATTGGTGAAATGTCAGGGGGTGGGGTGGTAGAGTAGTGTGTATGTGTCTGCCAGTCACTGTCTAAGGCTGGCCTCCTACTGATGCTCACCCTCACCCTGACTGCAAAGTGCACTGTCTCTCACCCCCACTACTCCTTAAGCAGTGAAGCCTCTTGTCTCTGGAAGGCTGAGCAACAGAGTGAAGCATTTCAGGCTGGTGCCCTGGAGAGAGCTGTTGGGTCATCCCTGGTCCCAGCCTTTCTTTAATGAATGAGGGGATTAGGTTGGATGGACTGGAGCAAAGATACCTGGAGGCGTCTTACCTGTCCCATCTTCCTTTCCAGCCCCAGCACTTCTGTCTGGCCATCTCAGAAGACAGTGGGGGTATGGTTGAAAGAATTCTAGGAAGGGGTCAAGGATAAGGATCCAGGCGCAGCTGTGCCCTGGTAGTCTGTGTAGATGGAGCACCTGCCCTGACACCCAGGGCTTACATCTTAGGAAGAAAATATATGGGCTCTGGGAGGAATTTGTAGGTCAAGCATCACAGCCTATGATGTATGCAGCAACATTGAGGGTTGTTTTGGAGGCAAGGTAAACCTTAAAGTGAATAGGTGTTTCCACCTAAGGAATAATAATACATAAACTAGACACTTTGGAGGCATTCCTGGACTTGGGGTTAGTTAGGTGGATTAGCATTTAAAATAAATTCACTCTGGTCCCTACAAATAAATTGCATATATATCCCCTAATAGATGTTAAGCAGAAAGCACTTATCTCCTTAAAAAGAGTAGCCCTTGGCTCAGCCCCTGTAGTTCAAGCGGCTAATGCACTAGCCACATACACCAGAGCTGGCAGGTTCGAATCCAGCCCGGGCCTGCCAAACAATGACAACTACACCCAAAAAATAGCCGGGTGTTGTGGTGGGCGCCTGTAGTCCCAGCTACTTGGGAGGCTGAGGCAAGAGAATCGCTTAAGCCCAGGAGTTGGAGCTTGCTGTGAGCTGTGATGCCACAGCACTCTACCCAGGGCAACAGCTTGAGGATCTGTCTCAAAAAAAAGAGTATCCCCAACACAATCTTAGAAAACAGTAGAGTAGGTGATTATTAGACCTTTTGGGCCAGTGGATCCTTATTTTGGAAGTGTTACAGGCTTCTGTAAATGGATTTAAGGTCCCCTTCCACTGGGCATTCTTCTATTGTGAAACTACCTGGTAAAGAGAAGCTTGAGTTTCTAATGCACTTTCTCAGCTTTATTGGAGCTGGTTTTATACTATGGTCATCCTTTTAACTCCCTTCATGACTGATTCTCTGAGAGCCAGAGGACTCTGATTTGAATGCTCAGTGGAAGAACATCTGTTATCTTCAAATGTCTTACCCTGTGGCTCCCTGTAGGAGAGAGGTAGAGAGGAGAGAGGCAAGGACTCACGCCATTCCAGTGAGCTGATCACTTCCTTAGGCTCTTGACCTGACCTCTCAAAAAAACGGGATCTGCCACTGGGAGAGGACCCTGCCTTGTAGTTGGCTGTCAGAAACACATTGTCCATATAGACAGGTGTACCACCATTTAGTTGGAGTGGAGCTGGTCAGAGGAAGGGGAAACTTGAAATAGTTTGGCATTTTGTTGGCAGCCCCCTTCACCTGTGGCTATAAAATGAACAGATATTTTGGGATGTGGTGATTGGTTATTATTGGATAATAAAATTATAAGGTTGCACACGATCTAAACAAGGCTTTTGTGGTCAGCAAAAGCTGTTGTTGATTGAATGATGAAAAGGTTCAGGTGCAGGCTGTGTTCAAGATGTCAGCCATTGAGGTTTGTCACTCCCCTGCAAGTGTGCAGCCCTCCCTTAGATCAGGTCATTCATTTTCCTCCAGAACGGAGCTGGAATCCATCTCTTTGAACTTTGTCTAATTTCACATGATGGAGAGTGATGGAGGCTGGATTAGGTGACTAATCCATTTGAAATGCAGGTAAAACATTTTAGCCAAAGAAGAATTAGCTGAACTTCAAAAAATGACCTTAATTGGGAGGCAGGGGCAGGACAATTCCTTGAGGCCAAGCGTTCAACAGCCTGGGCAACATAGTAAGATCTGGTCTGTACCAAAAAAAAAAAAGAAAAAAAAACAAAACAAAAACATTAGCTGGGTGTGGTGGCTCACGCCTAATCCTAGCACTGTGGGAGGCCAAGGCAGGTGCATTGCTTGAGCTCAGGAGTTTGAGACCAGCCTGAGCAAGACCAAGACCCTGTCTGTACTAAAAATAGAAAAACAAGCTGGGTATTGTAGCAGCACCTGTAGTCCCAGCTACTTCAGAGGCTGAAGCAAGAAAATCACTTGAGCCCAAGAGTTTGAGGTTGCTGTGAACTATAATGATGCTATGACACTCTACCCAGGGCAACAGAGTGAGACTCTGTCTCAATAACCCCCCGCTCCCCAACAAACAAACAAATAAACAAGCAAAAACCCCAGCTAGACATAGTGGTGTGTGCTTGTTAGTCGCAGGTACTCCCTCAAGAGGTTGAGACAGGAGAATCCCTTGAGCTCAGTTCAAGTACAGACGGGGCAACGTGGCAAGACCTCATCTCTCATGACTTGTCTGGTCTCAGGCCATGGCTTCAGTTTGCTCTGCCACGGGGCTCCCCTCTACTGGCCTCTGTGGCTGAGCCAAGTGTGATGCTCTGCCTCAGTGTTTATGAAGGACATTGGTTTATGGTTTTCTTTTTTGTAGTGTCATTATATGGCTTTGGTATCAGGGTAATGCTGACCCACAAAATGAATTAGGAAGTGTTACCTCTTCAGAATTTTGGAAAATTTTGAGAAGGATTGGTATTCTTCTTTAAGTGTTTGGTAGACTTTACCAGTGAAACCATCAGGTTCTGGTTTTTGACCCTGGCACCTGGGCTGATGGGGACTCAGTTGAGTATCTTATTTTGGACTTCTTTGAAAATAAGAATAATGAAGATTTGTTTGATGTTGTTGGTAACATGTTTTGGGGACATATAAACTATCTGACCCTTAAGTTCTGAGTTAGCAGCAGCGAGGAAGCCTCTGATTTCTGCTTCCCAGCCTGGTTTGCTAGAACATAGTGACGGTGCTGTCAGCTTCATGCAGGGTGCTAGACAGGAAACTCTCTTCCATGCTTGCCACACAGAGTAACTTCCCACTGTGGCCCCCACATGGGCCACAACAGTGGCATGTAAGACAGAAGTGTGCAAAGGGGGGACTTAGCAAAGGGTGTAATTAAAGTGAGACTTGGACAAGAATTTGATTAAAATGCTTTCTTGATGATTGGCTGGAATTGTGGCTATTTCACTAAAAAGGTATAAGAGGAATACGTTCCTTCTTTAAATCACTTTGAGTTGAGTTAAAGGTCTTAAAAAATCTTGTTTGAGCCTTATGTCAAATCAAATTTGTGTGTCTTCATTCAATAAACATTTATTGGCCATTTCTTCTGTGTCAGGTAATGTTGTATTAATAGCTACTGAGGATAAAGTAGTGAATAAAAAAGACACAAATCACTGCCCTTTAGTCGCATAACCCAGTAGGATGTTCCTTGTCACCAGCTGGGTAGGGAAGAAGGAATACCATTATAGTTCTCATTGGGTACCCAGGAAATTGGGGGACCAGTGGGCGTGGTGACTTTCCCGGGTCCCCCCACCCTGCTGAGCCAGGCCCACCTCTCTCCCACAGATCATCTTCCTGCAGACCAGACCTTGCCTGCCGCACACGGCTACCCTGCTGAGCAGCTGCAGCAATGGCTACATCTATGCCTGGTCCATCCATACGCAAGGAGGCCTATTGGGGAGGTTCCCCGTGGACCTCAAAGACGATGGAGATACTGTCGTGGGTGCCATGGCCACTGACAAAAATGACTGGATCCTCATCACAGGGGACTGCAAAGGACAAATCAAGGTGAGAAAAAGTTGGCATTAAGAATAAGTGGCTAAGGCCAGCCAAACTTTGGCCACCTCTTTGCTGCACAGGGCGCTTGCCTAGTTCCTGCTTTCTCTGGGTACTGGTTTCATTTACAAAGTGATGGGGAGGCGGGGGGGAGAAATCCTCTCCTGCTCTGGACGCTGGGAGAAATGAGTGAGGGCTTGGTGTGAAAGGCCCCCCCAGGAAGCCTTCCCCAGGAAATCCTGTGCTCTGTCCTCTGACTCCCTCATCTCCAGCTAATCTATGCGGCTAATCTGTGACCAGCTGTTTGAGGAAGTGCTTGGTGGTAAGACAGGAGGCAGGAGTATCTTGTCCTCCAGCCATTTGTGCCTTCTCTACTTACTAGCCAAGGCGTCTGGTCTAGATCTTAGCCCACCTAAGATCCTGGGCTTAGGTGTCACAGAGGTGGAAGTAAGAGCTGCCCCCAAAGTAAAGAGGAAGTCTTGGGGGAGCCCACAGAGTGAGGTGAGGTGAGGTGGGGTCTGGGTTGAGGGGTGCTGGGCCACTAACCTACGTTTTGTGCCTAGATCTGGGACATTAAGGATTACTGCGTATTCTCTGACCAGCTGGCCTCCCAATTCAGTGGGGGTCAGGACAGCTCTAAAACAGAGAACAAGTTTCGGGTCTTAATTCCTCCACAACCTGGGATCAATGTCTCCTACACTCCCTCGGATGACACAGAGGTAGGAAGATTACTGGACAGTTGCTCAAAGTGCCTCTAAGTCCCACTAACGCGCTCAGGCTGTGCTCCTGTACTGAGATTATGAGCTTCATGTTTCTTGTTTGGGGTTGTCTGGCTGATGTGGGAAAGTCTTCATTAACCACACCAAATACATGCACGTGTCCACACACAGGCACGTGTGCTTTGCCACACAGACTCTGAAGTCATGAAATATTTGTATTTTCTTGAATAGGCAATACATTTACATGGATCAAAAATCACTTAATATTTCCCAGATGAGTCATGAAGTAGAGCACCTTTTTATTAGTTATTAGGAAAAGGCGCATTCAAGCCACAGTGCTCTACCACTATACATAGTACAACTCACCCGAGGGACTGAGACTGACAAAACAGGCAATCCCGAATGTTGGTAGAGTTGCAGGTCAGCAGGAACTTCCACTGCTGGTCAGAATGTACATGGCGTACAGCTGACCTTTGGACAACGCATGTCGGCGTAAATGCAGATGTTTTCAACCAAATGGATGTCGAAAATGCACTAAAAGATATGAGTAAGAAAGTAATATAATTACTATTCATAATACTGCTCCAGTAGAAACAACCCAAATACCCATCAGTGTTGCCTGGAAAAATAAATTGTGGGCTCGACACCTGTAGCGTGTGGTTACGGCACCAGCTACGTACACTAAAGGTGGCAGGTTCGAACCTGGCCCAGGCCAGCTAAACAACTGCAACAAAAAAACAGCTGGGCCTTGTAGCAGGTGCCCGTAGTCTCAGCCACTTGGGAGGCTGAGGCAAGGGAATCAGTTAAGCCCAAGAGTTTGAGGTTGCTGTGAGCTGTGACAACATAGCACTCTATTGAGGGTGACATAAAGAGACTCTGTCTCAAAAAAAAAATTGTGGTATATACACACTGCAGAATAATATCTGGCTCTGGAAATGAATGGCCTACCTACATCTACTCACTACAATATGGACAACTCTTGAAACACTCTTGAAACAGTTTTAGCAAAAGTCAGGTACAGAAGAGCATATATTGTTGTGTATTATAGTTCCCTTAATATAAAGTGCAAAGGCAGACAAAACCAACCTATTCTATTAGAAGCGATTCTTCTCATGTGCAGGGGCAAGTGACTGACAGGAGTCATGAGGCAGACTTCGGGTGAGGGGGAGGGTTGGCGATGCTTTGATGCTCTGCTTCATTATCTGGGTTTGATCACTCAATCATGTTCAGGTTGTAAACGTGTATTTACTGGTACTTTTATGATAAGTACAATTACCTATGTGTATATTATACATCAATGAAAGCTTAAAAATCAGGCAGTATAAAAAGGCTTAACATGAAGCATCTAAGTCGCATTCCTGTTCCCCTGCAAAGTAGTTCTTGCTCCCTGGAGTAAACACTTCTATTGATTTTTGTTCTTCTTCCAGTATTTAGGCAAACACGTGTATGAAGTTATTTTTACCCAAAGGTAGCATGCATTATACACTGGTATTCACCTTGTTTTTCTTACTCTATAATATATCTCAGAGACCTTTCCATAGCAGTACTTTATTTTTTTTTAATTTATTTATTTTTATTTTTTGAGACAGAGTCTCACTATATCGCCCTCAGTAGAGTGCTTTGGCATCACAGCTCACAGCAACCTCAAATTCTTGGGCTTAAGCAGTTCTCTTGCCTCAGCCTCCTGAGTAGCTGGGACTACAGGCGCACAGTGCCTAGCTATTTCTTGGTTGCATTTGTCATTGTTGTTTAGCAGGCCCAGGCTGGGCTTGAACCCACCACCTTCGGTGTATGTGGCTGGTGCCCTACTCACAGAGCCAGTACATTATTTTTTATAGCTGTGTGGTAAGCCATAGGATATGTTATTGATATAATCCCTTCTTAAAGAAAATGTTTAAAATTGTACAAGTGATTAGTGAAAGTTTTTTCACATATGTGAAAACATGTCTGTAGGGTAAATTCCTAGAAGGGGGATTGCTAGGTCGAAGAATTACATGCATCTGCAATTTTGAAAGCCATCTTGCAGTCTTAGGTGCCTTTTGAATCTCAACAAATATATTATGCTCATTCTCGTTTTGATATGGAGAAAATTTCCTGGTATTCAAATACGTTGGGAAATAGTCACCCAGGCAGTGAGTATAAGAGGAATTCGTAATGTTAATACAATCACTGTAATAACATTTGTTCACTGCTTGCAGGGTTTTGGGGGTTGGGATAAGGGCTTTATGTATGGTGTCATTAATCTCCGTAATGACTCCTGCGAGAGATGTTATTTTTTAGATGAGGAAGTAATAAAACTGAAGAGCTGGAGGGACTGGGCTAAGCCCACGTAAGCTGCAGGTGTGGTGACTAAGCCCAGATGTGTCTGACTCCCGAAGCTGTGTTCCTGACCATCTACCCTTAGTTATACATATTAAGCAACTGTGATTATATTATATATGTGTATACCATGAATTTCCTGTATCATCAAATATGCCTTTAAATAGTTTTATAAATGTTATTTTAAATCGGCAGACCATAATTGTGTCTGTTTACGACGTGCATGTTTTGATATTTGTCCACATATAGAATGATCAAGTCAAGCTCATTAACATTTATCTGCCACCTCACCTACTTTTCATTTTTTTACTTGGAGACATCTAGAATTTACTCTTTTAGTTATTTTGAAGTATGCGGTACTTTATTATTGCGTGTAGGCACCCTAGAGTGCAGTAGATCTCGAAGCTTATTCCCCTTGTCTACCTGAAACTTTGTACCCTTCGAGCAACAGCTCCCTATTTCCTCCCCCACCCCTAAAGCAGCCTCCGGTGACTATATTCTCTCCACTTGTATGAGTTTGACTCTTTTAGATCCCACGTATAAGTAAGATCATGCAACGCTGTCTTTCTGCACCTGGCTTATTTCACTTAGCAATATGTTCTCCAGATCCGTCCATGTTGTCCCACATGACAGGCGTTTCTTCCGGGTAAGGCTGAATAGCATTCTATTGTGTATATACACTGCATTTTCTTTATCCATTCGTCCGCTGATGGCCACTTGGGTTGACTCTGTATCTTTGGCTATTGTGAGTGATGCTGCAAGCAACATGGAAATGTAGATATTCCCTTTGGCATATTGATTTTAGTTCCTTTGGATAAGTACCCAGAAATGGGGTTGCTGGATTATATGGTGGTTTTATTTTTAGTTTTTTAAGGAACTTTTATATTGTTTTTCAAGGCGGTTGTACTAATGAACATTCCCACCACTGTGCACAAGAGTTTTCTTTTCTCTGCATCCTCACCAGCACTTATCTTTTTGATAATATCTTTTCTAACAGATGTCTTGTTATGCTTTTAACTTGTACTTCCTAATGATTGCCAATGCTGACCATTTTCCCCCCATGAATGTATTGGCCATTTGTGTGTCTTCTTTAGGGAAATGTCTCCTCTTCAGGTCTTTGCCCACTTTTTGTGTTTTTTTTTTTTTTTTTTTGATGTTGAGTTCCTTATATATTTTGGCTATTAGTCCCTTATCAGAAGCACCATTTGTAAATACCTTTTTTTTTTTTTTTTAAAGGGCATAAGATGAGATTTATTATAGACCCGGGAAGCCCGGGGGCCCCGGGCCTGGACTCCCCTGGCATGCAAGCCGAGGACGAGCCCTGAACTCGGGGTGAAGGCAGTTTTTATGGGGTACAGAAAGCAAGAGGGGTAGGGTCGGATACCAGTACACTTTTCATTGGTGGTTGGTGATTTCATTAGTAAAGGTGGATTTGGATTGGTACAGGTAAGGGGTGGAGAGTCCCTTAACACTATTTGGTTGAGTAACTATGAAAGGAATGAGAAAGGTTGCAGGGTGGGCCCTGCGGGTGTGGTTTAAGCAACTATGAATAGAATGGGGAGGATTACAGGGTGGGCCCTGCTAGGAAACTAGGAATAGAATGGGGAGGGTTATAGGGTGGACCCTGCTAGGAATGAGGAAGGTTACAAGGTGGGCCCTGCAGTTTAACAGAGCAGACAAGAAAATGGCGCTGGTCTGGCCCTTACATTCCCCCCTTTCTCTTGTAACTGAGGCTCAATCTTGAGCCTTATCTGCTGTAGTATGCATGGGAGTATATTGGGAATGGAGGACAAATAGTTGAACGGCATTGATTCTGGCCTGAGTAGGAGTGAGCTAAGGGAACATGTTGAACAATGACTTTTACAATAGCATTCTGAACATTTGCACAAATTAAAGTTCACTTAGCTCTTATGAGTCTAATAGAGCAGTCCTATGATGACGTAGATTTTGACTGGAGCAGGGCTTGTCGTTCTCCGCAACACCAGCTTGAGGGGGTTTTCAGGATCCGAGGTAGCTTCCCAAGGTCCAGGAGCTGTTGAGGTGCGGAGTCCACTCTGCGGGGACTCAGGATCAGCTGCCATTGTTTACGTACTGCTCAGTCTGGCTCCTCTTAGGTGGGGGCAGGTTTTCCTCCGGTTCCAAGGTAGGCTTCACTCTGCTGTAATGGATCTAGGCAGGAATTCCTGCTACTCTCACAGGTGTGGTCAGGATTCCAGTCTTTGACTCACACTGCAGCTTCTGGAGAGAAAGGGTGGACAGGGGAAAACTAACAGGACACCTCTCACTCACCCATTTTAACACTGCCTTTGTCACCTTTCCCAGTGTCTGTAACTGCTTCCCGAATTCTACCTCCCTCAATTCCCTGGGGCGGGGTCCTGGCAAGCTTTGTAGTAAGGGGGCTTGCCTATGATATAAGATCTTATACTGTGAGAATCCTGTCCTTTTAACAAGGGCAGGGCACTTACCCACTGTAAGCTTGTTTCCTGGCATACTTTCCCTAAACTGGTTTCATGCGTTCCACCTTCCCCAAACCCTGTGGGCAGTTGGTTGCTTAGAGTCTCCAGCTGATGTCAGGATGTTAGCCGTCTTCTGGATCAATCTGAAAGTCCTCGAAGGGCGTTGCTCTAAATGACGGGATTCCGGGGGGTACCGTTGGTCCTTGGCAGGCATTGAACTGGCTG